AAGGTCGGTGACCTAAAGTACGCTTCCTCAAGCGCTTAGCTACGGCAGCCCCGCTGCATGCAGAATCAGATAAATATAGTGACACATTCCCCGATCCGGATGCGAAATAGTGCTGAGTCATCCTTACCCATCTCTTTTCACCACGTCGTAATATTGCCTTAACAATCATTAAAAAGATATGACGGTGGATTAGTTTAGCTTCTACACCAATAGGACTCATATCAATTTGATTATCTCTCCGTCTTGAAATACCTTTCTAGTTCCACCGGAAAGAATGAACCAAGCTGAACGAAAGGTCTTGCCTTCTATTCAAAGAGAAGACTTATATACACTCATCTTTCTCGACTATTTTTTATATGAGAGAATAAACGTGTTCGTCACAAAACCGTGCTTCGCACGGTAGATGCGTTACAAATTGTTGGTCGACCATCGATATCGCTGCACCGCGATAAGGGTGGACCAGATAGTATTGCATCAGAGTCATTCTACTTGCAACTTCCAGTCAACTGTCTTCACATGGATTTGCTCTAAAGATTGCACTTTTTTGCTGCCTCAAGACGTCCAAAACCTGAGCACTTCACATCAAGGCTATCCGTGGGAGCGACTGTAACGCACGATGGTAATCTTTATCCTCCGCAGAATTAAGCTAAATAAAGTGCCATAATTGTGTCGATGGACCTGTATACCTGGTGACCGCGATCTACTTGCATCAAGCTTTTCTCCTGGCTCCTAGCAATTTATGCCTGCAACCTCCTACTACTTTAAAGACAGCAAACGCGAAGCACTGGTACTTCTCGGGAGCTTTACTGAGTTTTTAGCCATTTCAACTCTTCTTACCCAGAATGAAATATCTATTTCGTTTCTATATGTGAATGACTGCCTATGTTAAGCGTCCAATCAACGGCGGAAGCCGATTGTGGAAGCATAAAACGTCTGGTGCTGCAAATGCTGGTTACACGACCAGGACGAGGTTTCATCGTGGTCATTCCAGCAGTGGTTATCGCAGTGGTAGTGGTAGTGATGTATTCATTAACAAGAAAGGTTGACAGAATGTGTAACCGTGTTGATAGTTGGAGCTTGTCCTAGTGCGAGGTATGAGCGTGTCTAAAACCAAAGAAGAAAGTTCAAGCAGGGAATGGTGCAAGCTTTGCTTGACTGTGAGGTAGCTGCAGTTCTGAATATGTTGCATTTTCATCAAGCAATGGAAACTTTACCACGTAAGTGATTGAAGTTTCTTCGTCTGCTCTAACGTCCGCTCGTCTTGCTAGTACTATATAGTACTTTCTATATAGCATAGTTCAACGCCTCAACTTACTCTATCAAAAAGCCAGCTCACACAGTGAAAAATATAAAACGTATTACTATGTCTTTTTGCTAGTGAAGCAAACCATATCACATTTAATGAAAAAAAGCTTACCGCGCACAGCCTTCAAAAAATATTTCATGTTACTCGACAAGGCAGAAGCTTTTTGTGTCCAAGATGCCACGGCAACTCCTCTCCATCTACTTGTCTGACGATAGCTAGTTTGCAGTGATCACCAGTAAATCTTTCTTTGAAGACTAAAATCACTATGAGACGAATGTGTCTTATTGGAACTTTGAGTGCGATATTGTCGAGATTTAACACTGATAAGCGCAATGTCTGCTCCAGTAACTGGTTTGTCGAAAGTAGCTGATGCTATTAATCATCTTAGAAATACAGAATAAGCTATAAGTGCTTACAGGCCCACGCGCAGAGTTTTTGCTACGTAATGGTGATAACGCTTTCAGCGGGCACTGAGTATTGTATTCCATGTCTATTTCATTTATTCGTAAGAACACAAGTCATCATCAGTTTCGGTATTGTTGTGGATGCGTAAAGAATGAAGTATTTTCTCACGTAACGGATGCTCGCGAACCTATTAAGTGTCTCGAGCATCACGACAGTAGACACACGGAGCACATTTACTTTTCAGATTCTAGATTATGATTGCCAAACAAGGAAACTTTGCGAATGAAACCACCCGACATTCGCAGCTCCAGCAGCTTCAGCGTATTTACTGTCGTGGCGAATTGCTGCATGAGGTACAAATGCAGGAGCTCTTTGAGGATAGTAAACACTTTGTCGACATGCCCATCAAGGCCACGTCGTCAATAGATGACATATTGAGCCAATTTCAAGAGCTCAAGGCGACAAAGTCAAGCGGTCCTGAGTGGAAAGCTCAGCTTTCAGCGTTTGTCAACCAGCATTTTGATTCACCAGGATCAGAACTGGAACAAATCACCCCGCCAGATTATTTAGAGGGAGAAATGCCGGAAAAAATCAAGGAAATAAAAAACGAACGACTGCGAGAATGGGCAATGGAGCTGCATAAGCTCTGGAAGGTGCTTGCTCGAATTCCCACGGTTGCCTCGGCGGGTCAAAGGGCAAGGAGCTCATTTCTTGGCTCAGTTCCTATTGTAAAAGGACCAGACGATTCACACGGTGTTTTGGCGCGTCAATCTGGTGGGGAAAATGTTGTTGTTGTGCCCGGTGGTCGCTTTCGCGAGGGCTACTACTGGGACTCTTACTGGATTGTGCAGGGATTATTGGTTAGTGGGCTCGACCAGACCGCACGAGGAATTGTTAATACGTTACTTGAATATGTTGCAGAGTTTGGATTTGTTCCAAACGGCGGGCGTATCTATTACCTCACGCGCTCACAGCCTCCAATGCTCTCAGAGATGGTGCGTGTAGTTGCCAAGGTAAGAAAATCTAACTCAAACGAGGACACAAACACTTGGGATCTCGAGTACCTGCAAGCTACAGTGCCATTGCTTGAGCGAGAATACGACTTTTGGATGCAACGTGGTCCTCATGGTCACGCAGTAGAGGTCATTGGTAAATCGGATGAGACCTTTATACTTAACCGATTCGTAGCAAATGCTAATGAATGTCGACCTGAATCATACCGTGAGGATATCAATACAGCCCTTAAATCTCAGAGTGGCGATTGTGATAATGCTAGACTGTACAATGACATCATTGCTGCGGCTGAGAGCGGGTGGGACTTCAGTAGTCGATGGTTCAGCGACTTTTCTTCAATACCTACCATTCGCACCTCGCGAGTGATTCCAGTCGATTTAAACACAATATTACATCGTGTGGAACTCAATATCGCATCTTTCCACAAACTTTTAGGAAATTTTGAGGCGTCAGAAAGATTTGATGATGCTGCTAAAGCACGCGTGAAAGCAATGGATGCAATGTTATGGAATGAGTCCAATGGAAGTTGGAAAGACTATCTACTTGACTCGTGCACGCACTCGCCAGTGGTGTCCCTATCCGACTACTTTCCATTGTGGAGTGGAGCTTATAATAAGGCTGATTTGAGTCGAATCGAGAAAATCGTGACGTCTCTGGAAAAGTCTGGCTTATTGCAAGAGGGAGGCGCTGGAACCACAAAGTTTGTCACGGGACAGCAATGGGACGCTCCCATAGCCTGGGCACCGCTACAAGATATTGTCATTGAAGGTTTACAGGCCGCTGATACGGCAAAGTCTTGCGCTCTTGCGAAAAGGCTTGCGCAGTCATGGGTGGAAGCCGGTTTTGTCGCCTGGCTGAAAACGGGTCTTATGTTTGAAAAGTATAACGCAGAGCGCTATGGGGGCCCGGGTGAAGGTGGTGAGTATACGCCACAATTTGGTTTTGGCTGGTCAAATGGCGTGATCCTCACAGCCTTGACGAAGTATCAGGAGCATTTGAACATTCCCGGTCGATTCGAGAATGATGTTGAACTCAAGAATTTCTGACATTATATTTCAGAAGAAGAATGCAATCATAGAAAAATTATAGCTGTCGATGAATGAGCGGCATAGAGTTTTTTTTCAATTTTACCACACCTCCAATATTGTAATAGTGTAGTACATCCAGTTAGTGTAGGTAGGATTGCTGTGTCTATCTTCGCAATAGGACCAATTACAGCAGCATGCAATGTGCTTGTTGTCTATGCATGGTGCAGCGCAAAAAGGCCCCTATCTTTGGTCGCTATCGCCACAGGAAACTCTATCGTGACCATCACAATCTATATTAACATAACGGCGAGATTGTTCGCATGTATTTATTACACTGGCAAAGCTTACAAACTCGATGATACCGTCTTGACGCCAGGTGAGACTTCGAAATCGAGATATAATTCTTACTGAAGACTGAAATTGCTTTTAGGTCGGCAAGAAATGAAGCAGAAATTACTAATGAAACGTCTCTGTAAGGGCGGATTCTATTCTGACAGGTGAGTATTTTTCATAAAACTCACCACATCTCTTGAATTTGTGAGCATGTGAGTATTTTAAATGGCCACTCCATATATTTTGCTTGTTTTTGCGTACCCTCCCCTGGTTTATATTTCATATCGTAAATTTATCCCAATACTCACATACACATGCTTATAAATATTTACTATTGATGTAAAGATACTATAAAAGCTACTGGATGAAAGCTTTGTGAGTATTTTTTACCCACACTTTTATCCAAAATATGTCTCCTATTGATATTAGATGAACCAAACCTTGTCTCGTTCATTGTTCCGTGTGAGCCAATGCTTTTACAGACATACGCGACACATTTAGCATGAATACAAGTCAAATGATCCACTTGCTAATGTGACTTCTATGGAAGATTGCTTAGTGTGACATCAGAAAAAAAAGTTATGATTTTGAGCGACGAATATACAAAATATAAAAACATAACTTTAGTAATAAAACAATGTCCAACTTTATCAAAAAGAACGGAGGACAGTGTTTGCTTGCTGAGGTTTTTGACGTAACCGATGTCCTGGCGCTTACTTGCGAAGGAAATAGCAATCGATCATCAAAGCATTAAGAATGCAGATCCACAAGTGTTATTCGATCAGGGTTGAAAATCATAATTCTTGAGAAAAATCGCATAGTGGATTGGCTGACTGGACACCACCCAGTTTTGGAATTGAGGACCCTTCAAGTAGCTGAAATTTCTTTTTGCTCGCTACAAGTGTACTAATAAGATTTGACTCTAGCTTAAAATTAACGAAAAGTATGCATCGTTTACATCTATCACAAAGAAGCCCTGTATGATGTGATGCATGAACCTTTGCAGACGTGTGCTCCAGAGACCGCTCGATTTCGAGATACCATCGCCAACGTTTCGTATGAAGTCAAGAATATTATATTTCGTCACAGGTACTTCTGAGCTACGCTCTGATTCTAAATAACAACAGTGATACGTGTATACAGACCTTACAAGCACACTAAGGAATAACAAGCGTCGCAAAAAATTGCCAGGCTTGAGGTCCCCAACAGGGCAAGAGGATTTCAGATATGTTTATTTTGTGATCATATCACCATGCAACCCCGGCTGTTCTTAAAAAAAAAGCCTGTGGTCAGTTCTGCATAGCATCGTGTTCGCATTAAAAATGTGTTTTCGTGTCTTGCCAAGCCAGCCGCGACTGTTGTTCGCAGGTTTCAAATCCGATATCAAGCTACATGTACTGTTGCAGGGTTTAACGTTTGGCTTGAGCGGAACCGTATCGGGGTAAGTGACTACTGTTATCGATAATATTGCGGTTTGGTCGCTGGCAAAATTCACATCGCTCACGAAAAGAAAAGAGTGTACCACTGTTTACTGTTAATCAAGATGGTTCCGATGCATGACTTTTAAATTATTCATAAAGAACGATAGCAACGACTTTGGCATATATCGATTTCCATGATAGCGTGTGCTGTCATCAGGCCTCTCTAAATACGGCAATCTATAAATAAAATCCGTATATTCCGTATTGCTTTTTAAAATGTTCCGTTTTTCAAAGAGAAAAAATAAATTATTCTTATCTCCGTCACGCT